TTCAATTCCTAATTTCTGGCAAAACGTAAGACTGTTTTACTTTCTTGCAATGCCTTGTTCCTCATTTTTCAGATGAAAATTTTGAAAATATATCGTTTTAATCTTGGATTACTTTCCTGACTGCTGCTTCTGGATAGCAGTAAACTCGAATTCTTTCTTCGACCTTCGAATTCACTGAACGGGACTTTCTTTAATATACAGTAGAATACAGACAAGCACCGTATATATATACGTATATATAGCCAGAAAAAGGCATTTAATTTTTGTTTTTATTTGTAACGTGAACCCTCAAAGAATTAACGACTTCCCGCGCCCGAGGATATTGTTGGAGTACAAGTCAAGTTTTACTTCATCTTGGGTTTTTCTTAAGAACAAGACTGTTCGAATCCATCGAAGTTTTCGCTCATTTTTTTTATCAATCGTGAGACTTTTTTTTAATGTAGAAAAATTATTTGAATAGAGTTTTGACCCTGACCAGAAATGAGCTTATTGTCAATAAAAGAGGCTCGTTCGTTGAATTTTGGATCACGCATGACTTAACTCTTTTTAATCGATTAGTTATTGGATATGTACACAAATTATAGCCCAAATAGATGCACGCAAATATTTTCTGGTGGTTCAAACAATTTCTTATGAAGGATAATTTCTAGTGACAGATAAAATGGTTCCTTTATCAATATCAATACAGTATAACCTCAACCAAGCTTTTTCCTATGGCATTTGGAGTGCATTTGCAAATGACTTTTATCATTGATTATACCCAGCAAACAATTTGGAAATTCATGAACCGATTCAAAATGCATTCAGTGCTGCATAGTTCAATGATTTTCTGGTGGAATGGGTGGGTATATATACAGTAAAAGCATTTTTAATAATACATTTTATACTGCATATGATTTAATTGCTTTTGTTTTCTCATTGCAGAATATTACTACATCTTAATTTCGTAGGTTCCAAATTTTCAAGGAAACACATGTATTACAAAAGGTGGATCAACTTTTCTCTAACATTTCCTTCACTGAAAGCAATTGGTCCAATCATGAAAGAGTGTTGCAGAAATGTTATCCATCTAAAAAAGGAAGAAATACAAAGTCTCCTTACAACCCCAAGCACTGAAAAATAAACTGTGGAAAAATATTATATCCCGCGAGAAAAAAGTTGGCAAAATGTGATGTGCATCAAATGCAGCAGTACTTTCACCCTTTTGTAGCGCATATTAAAGTCAGTTTTATGAATCTGAAATATTAGTCCATTATTATTGCTGCTGTAACTACTGCCAGTAAATTCAATTCAAAGTTAAATGGGACCTTTGCGTGTTTTTCTTCGCATACTATTGATAGGCAAAATTTTGTGCCATTTCTCATCTGTCCACCCCATGAGTGAGAATTTGAGAAATGCTCCTGCACGCACTGATACGTATCACTACATAAATGACCATGAGCCAGAAATTTGCCTGAGATAATGATATTCTTAAATGGAGCAGTGTGCACAGAAACTTTAGTTTATGCTAGAGGTACTGCAGGGTATTCGCATTTTATATGCAAATGAACCATTATACATTTTTATAATAGCCCAAACAGGTATATACCGTATATACAGGTTTCTGGATTATCTCTGGGAGGATCATGTCACAACAATTTTTTCCGCATAACAAGATTTTGGGTGGTCCCATAACATTGTGTGCTATATTCATGTTATACTGTATAGTACTGTTCTCTTTAAAATGTTTACGCTTTAAATGTATAGGCGGTATTGAGAAACTCTAACCGTATAATACTGCATAAAGACTGTGACAAAAATCGAACAGCATTGAATTTTTTTAATGCACAATCATCCCTCATCATGGATAACCTCAACGACGAAGGCAGCTTGTGCCTTCTTATTTTTCAAAATGTATTCAATCTCAGCATTCAGTTCTGGGTTTCTTTTTTTTTTATATAAAGCCTTATACTTTACAATGTTTGTTTTTATCCGCCTGGAGTGAAGATTTCTTTGCATGAAGAACTCCGGGACAAAAGCTTTCTCGTTCCAAAAGCAACACATACAATATTCGGCAAATTTCCGCTAAAATAAATCGTACTGAGCTGCAGTTGAAATGATTTGCCCTAGGCTTTGGAAGGAAAATGTACCTGTACTGTTCAGTATACTGTATCACGGAATCATTTCCCAAAAAGGAAAAATAAAACATTCAGCTATAAAAATATTTTCCAACTGGTCTCGGTTAGGCGTAAGAGAAAGCTTTCAGAGGATCAAGAGAAAGCAACGAAGTTCGTTGAGCGAATTTCTTTTTTCGTCTACAGGACTGTCCTGTTGGCCGTAATGCACACGACTGTACATACATTAAATGTTTCATGCATTTCAAGTATGAAAAACAAAAGCTGTTCAGCCTGGTTTTATCGAAGTGCAGTTCAAATAAAGATTCCTTCTGCAGAACTCCAATAATGCCATACCTTCGCATAAAACCAAAACAGCCGAAACCGATGGAATAAGTTCCACCTTTTTTTGCGGCTCCCGAAGTGGAAAAATTGTCCATGTGAGAGTAAGAAACACTGCTAGCATTAAAGTCAGTGCAACTTCAATAATATGACAGAGTCCGTTGGTTCTATGCTTGTGCTGCAGTTATACTGGTCCAACTGTTCAACAATTCGAATACGAAGTACTGTACATCGGAATTCGAATCATCATGTCCGTTGGCTTGAAAGACGTTTTCGTTTACATTATACTGACATTTTTTTCTGAAAGTTCGATCGGCTTCAAGAACCAAATAAGAAACGATCGATAATAATTCACCTTCAAATCAGCAACCCTGTTCATTTTTTGTTCAATACCAAGCAAGAAAAAAATTCCAGTAAAAAATGTAATTATCAGGGATTCCAAAAGGAGAATTAATTTACTCCTGTCATCCAACAGCATCTTTCGAAGTACTGTACAGTACTTGACTGGAAAACAGATGAATCCCTGCAGGAATAGATTTATTTTTCTTATGTTTTGATTAATTAAAAATGATAGTGACACACTGTGAAGAAAGACACAAATGCACTTTTAGGATTCAATTTATACAGTGCAGGTGGACTCCCTCTACAGCCAAATTCAATTAAAAAAGAAAACATTTTATTTTCGAGATAATTATGCTTTCAAGAAACCAAACAACGCAGATGAAAGAGAGACAAGAACCCTATATATAGTATCATTGCAGTTCATATGCAGAGAACATTGTTGTAGATAAGATTGATGTGGAGAGATTACACCTGTTATCACCAAAATTCAGAAACTTCAGAATGATCTACAGCAGAAATAATTTGGGCTTTTTATTTCTAAAATATCATTTCAATAAGTTACAATTTACAGTCGAGCTTAGAAAATGTATTGTTCCAAGATGCAAATCCCAATTTTTTTTTCAAAAATGCCCAGTGAACTAAATATCTGGAAGCTTCACAAACCTATCAGAGGTCAATCATCTCCTGAAGTCCTAATACACCAGGGGACACTCATGTAAATTGTAAAAGGAATAAAAAATTCTGCTAAACTCATCTCACTGACTTGTCTCATAAAATGAGTTCATGAAATGAAAAATCATGATGCTTGACAGGAATTCAGCAAAGCAAACATTTCACATGCGGCAATTTGACAAGAAGCTTACCAATACGTATGGAGTATGGTACTTATCTTGAGTGCATTCTGTATTTTGTCAGAAAGCAGCAAATCAGCCCTGTTCATAGAGCAGGTAAGAACTGTCACTTGCAGGGAACAAAAGGAAAAATTAATTGATCACTCCATCCCTTCTTGTGAAGTCTGCCACTCATGATGGAAACACATTCATCCAGTTGAATACAGGGAGAAAAATGTTGGTACTTGCACCATGAAACACAGAATAATCCACTGTGCATGCATCAAATATGCTAAAAAACCCCAAGAAACAGTGGTTTATCCTATGCGCTGATTCACATGTCTTCATTGAACTGCTCATATTCACATATAAGGTATGACACAAGACATTCCACATCATGAAACATGGTATACAGTATTTCACTTGCTTTCTAAAATATTTAGAAAATACAATGGTGCATTGCCTAAAGATCACAATTCATTCCAATGCAGTGATGGTTGGGTGGAACAGTTGTAGGGCAGAACACTTTTTCCCACAAGGTATAAAGAAAATCACTTTGATTGGTTCCTCAGAAAAAAATTCTGACAGAAAAATTTTCAAATAACAAAGCACAGATCCCTAAAAACACTGCTACAAATCTTTCAAATGGTTTTCCTTACTAAATTGCCTTGCTGTCTTCAAAAAATAACCCAGAAAATTAATAGCAATTGTACTTCATGCATATGCAACATCTATGAGTGAAGCAGGAGTCAAGTCTCCTGTGTAATTCTGCATGGATGTCACTATTGCATGTAGTATGCTATTAATTTAAGCAATTTAGGCATAGGATATCACCCATGACAATTTCCTTCCATTGTTCTCATTTTCCCTCAACAAAAATGCTTGAGAAACAACCATTTTTGTTGAGAAGAAAAAAGAAAAGCATAATATTTTTACTTCTATTCATATTAGTTCAAGGGAAGGCCAGAAACATTTGCTACACTGACAACTCCAATTTTGTTGCAAATTTTTATTTGCCAGGAATTGGATAACTAACTTATTTTGTCCATTATTTCAGAGAATCAAGTGAGAAAGAAAGAGAATGCATTTCCCAATGGATGGAAGATTTCTTCTGTTTCTTGCACTTCCTTGGTGCCATCCTTAATTTTGCTACAGTATCATCTTTCACTTTCTTTTGCACTTGATGCTTTGAAAGAATGTTAAAGAAGTTATAAGGGCATTTCTTGGTGAAAAAAAAATTCAGGTCAAAATCAGCTTTCCACCTAGCAACAGATGGTCACTAGGCTGGACAATGGTTGTTTGGTGGGACATTTTTTTAAGGTTCTTGGTGGTCCTTGGGCGGATCAGTTGTTGGGCAAGGCACCACTGTAGGAATAATATTGAAACACATGGATACAGTACACATGAAGGGATTATCATTCAGTTTTACTTTGAACCTTCACAATAAAAACGGGATTTCCCAAATTCGCGGAAATCAAAACTTGAAACGCGGCTTGTCGTTCAAACGTTCAGCACCTTTGCACTTTTCTTCAGCAAGTTTTTCAACTAAGGATGAGTGACCTTGATAGAATCAGAAGTCATGTCCCAGGAAATTTTCAACATTGTGCGGGACTTCTTCCCAGACAATACTGTTTGGAAAATTTAAAACCATCACGAGCTCAATGTTAACCGATTAGTCTTTCTAAACCATGTTTCTCAGTATTGTGTTACGCAATTCCACGCGAATGAGCTTTGGTGGTGATTACTATCTGCTCAGGGCTTTAAAACTACTACTGAGATCAGCATACACATAAATCACGCAATCTAAACAAAGCCTTCGGGAAAAAACTTCGCTTTTTCAAGTGCACAAAATCGTATGGGAGAATTCCGAAAAAAATCGAGCGGATCTTCTGAACACGTTTCAAGGTACTGAAATAAACAATTTCTCAAAGCAGAAAATCTACAGGATTGCACATTCAATAACCACTTCGCGTTCACGGAAGTCACAAAATTCTGGCACATTTTCAGAAACAACTGCAGAAGATCATATCGGCGGGTTCATGGATACTTCATAAAAAGAAGCGAGGGGTACAAGGTAACGTGAGCAAAAATCCATTGACGCTTTCGAAAATTCGTAAGTCTGCGGAATGCAAAATTTTCCATCATCCTCTTTGATTCCCCAATCGATATTAAAGATACGGGCAAATCATTACTCAGAACCGAGAACGAGACCTTCACACTCATTTTTGCGCAATGCCACACGCGAATGATGATTGGACACAGGAGCTTATTTCTACTCGTACTTTGCAGCGGTTTTTGGAAATATGACTGCGATGACGAAAATGTGATCATGCTCGGCAAAACACAGAAAAGATCAGCTCTACATCCAACGTTTTGATTAAATTTACTCAGCAGTGAAAAACCGGCTTGAAGTATAATTTCGGCTTTTCCTCAAAGCGCAGTTTTCGAAGAGTCATTCTCACGTGCTTCTGGATTCCAAGTACAGTAGATGTTATTCACTATTCTGTGGTTCATTACATCGACTCCTGATAAATCCATAAAGAACTTAGAAAATACTCGTTGCGCATTTGGAAGTCAAGTTCAATTTTCTTGCATATTTGCGAATACTCTCGAATGGGAAGGATTCCCATTACTATTACTGGTTGAGGCAAATGCAGCAACGAAGAAGTGTTCGTAGAAAATAAGCCTCCGCGTGCTGAAAACTAAGATTTTCTTTGACCTCTAGGATATTCTGTGAAAATATAAATCCCTAACCTCTTGAACCTCGAAGCCTTATCCCACAAACCTTCTCCTTAGTACCCACAAAGATTTCGAACCTTGCCTGTTCACAAATTATAACATGAACCCTGATTCCACCGACGTAACAGTTTCAGAAGTCAGGAAAGAAATTCGCATCAAAATGGTCACCAGGCGCCAACAAAGGAGGCTCAACTTGGAGCAAATTATTCGGCGTCATTGCCCAGGACTCTAGTAATACTCCTACGTCGACATTGTTCGTCCCGTTGGCGGGGTTGATTTTCCGCTGCTGCGAAGCATTCAAATTGCCACAGTTGTCAAGAAATGACAAGTCAAGATGGATATCCGCGAGATCAAACGGAGTTTGGTTCGCGTTCTCCATCAGACTCATGAAATTATCCAAATTGCTGCTCGAGCTCGTCTCCATCGGCTCCTTCACAGGCTTGCAAACACCGAGCTGCTGTGCAGGCATCGGCGGTGGAGTCGGTGGTAGAAGACCAACTTCTTCCATGTTGGAATTTTCGTCATCCATGGGACTGCCGGAGTTGTTGTTTGCGTCATGATTCACGGGAAACTGTGGTCCAGTTGACAGTCTTTCGGGCTCCGGCGTCGGGGTCAGGATGTCATTCGCGGCACGTGGCGGCAGACCACCATTCTTTATTACGACGTCAAGGATGTCATCGACCGCTTCAGATTTTTGATGGAAAGAAATTGTTGGTTGTATGTCAGTCACGTTCACACCTTCTCCTTGGTCGCGGTTCGGAGAATACGTCGCTTCACACCACGCTGATTCCAGTTTAACTTCGCTTTCTTCGTCACCAAGCCGCCAACTGACTTTCGATCCGCTTAGAGAATCATTCGACACCTAGAAACACGAGCAAAATTTGAGTTTGACAGTTCTTCGAGTGCGACACACATTCATGGATTCAATTTTAGCATATTCTCCGATAAATTTTCAATCGTACAAATACAATAGTACTGCACCTGTATAACTGCTTTAAAAAATAAATTTTTCAAAAACAGATGACACAACATTCTTACATAAGGAAACTTCGAACATACAATCTCTAGGAAATGAAAAGTCCTCGCAGAACTTCTGGTGGGACACGAAGAAAATACTGAGAACGATAAGAAGCAGCGTCTCCGCCTGAAATATGAATTGCTTACGCACTTTCTTTGTTCCTATTCTTGATTAATCAGCCGACTAGTGCAATTATTTGCTTGAAAGTGATAAAACAACGTCTTGTTAAACCACTGAAGGGTATGTTACCTTCATTCTACTGTATTTAAGAAATGTTTTTGGAAGCTCTTCAAAAGAACGAAGTGCGGTGGATTCAATGCAAAACTGGAATTTCGGGTAGATACCATTCCATTGAGTTCAATTCCATGGTGTACCCAGCCATGCTTATCACTTTCAATCACATCGCATGAAATTTCTATTTACCTGCAACCCGAAATCGGAGGAACCAGGAGGCATGGCCAACCGTAACTTCACCTCCTCGCTGATCTTCTTGTTTTCCTGAGAATTATCCAACTGTTGCTTCAATTCCTTGAACTGGTTCATTATTTGGTGAATCATCCCTTCTGAACACTGCACATGATTCACTGCCTGGAACTGTCCCGGGCTCCCAATGGTCACTATTGGCTGCTGAAGGGGTTTCACAGTACCATTTGTTACTAGAGGCACAAGCGGAACATAAATAGGTACACCAGTGGACATAGGAGGGGGCTGAGGAAGGATGAATTCATGCGCGCGATGAGCTTCGTTCACGTTCAAAATCACAGGGACTGTTGTTGGAGAAGCAAAGACAGTCGCCATGGGTACTGATGAAATGTCCACGTCCATCTGGGAATCCATGCTATGGTTCGATTCTTCCGGACTCGCGGCCACAATGACTGATGCTGGAGACGCCGCGGAGAAAACCAGAGGCTCTTGGGCTGTGATCACAGGAATAACGGTAGAACTGAAACACGTTCTATTTCTTGGTGCAGGAGAAGAAGCCGACGTAGAATTTGTGATCAACGATCCGTGCGCAGCACTTGTGATCACATCGGCGTACGGTTGAAGTCGCTCGATCAGCTGGGCTTTAGAGCCTCCAACTCTCAATCCACGGATCTGTGCTTCAACTTTCAGATCTCTGACTTTCATGTCTTCCATTTTGGAAAGACTCTTCGGAGTGTTGTCAGTCAAACGCGTATTTTGCAGGGCATTCAACTCAGATTTAGATATTCCAGGATTCGGGAGGATACGTTTCTGCTGGCTCTCTAGTTCGTACTGTAGAAGCGTCTGCTGCTGTTGCAGCAGGATCTCATGCTTTGTTTCCGGGTTACCTTCATTTCAATAAAAAACGACCTTCTTAATCCACGAAGTTCTTTCAGTTATCACATTATGAACAATAGTCATATTTTTCCACAAAATTCTTACCCAAAATTAAACCCGAAAGAAACTTCTGGCGGACATGGCGAAAGACACACTCAAGCATACTTTGATTGACATCCAATTGTTTTAGTTATTGCGGTGGGGTTTCGAAAAAAGTTCTGTGCGGTGAGCGATTTCTCCTTACATAGAAGTTTACGAAAACACATCAATCCTGCCATTCTTCCCCCTCAATTAAAAAAAAAACCGGGATCATAAGCTGACCCGCCATTCCGCCTTCCACAGAACATACCAAATATTTTTTATCGTACGAGAAACTGCATATACAACAGGCTTCATAAGCCTTTTTTACACCAGCACTGCACAGAAACTTTTTAAAACCAGAAAAGAAATATATCCGACTCAAGAAGAAGAGAACGGGATAAATACCTAAGCATTGCTCCTTTCTCGCCTGAGAGGACGGGCCTGTGTAAATGTGAAACTTCCATGGCGTTTGCTTTGACGCTTGACCAACACAACTTTTGTTCGTTTTCAAGCTCCTCGCTTTTCCGCCACCGGCACTCCGCATAATCTTCCCTCCAGTTCTGGAAGCGTAAGTGGTCGAAATCGTGGGTTCGTTTGACGCGAAGACCGGTAGCGAAGCACAGCGTGAGACTTGAGGAAGAGTGGACATGGCAGGAACAGAGTCAAGGAGTCGGGATTCAGGCTGACTAACGACCGCATGCTCGGACTCGACAGAATCTTCAGACGGAGTGAATTGTCGATGAGGTCGAACGGGAATTGCACCTTCGCTAGTTCTTTTGAACTGGATCTTCCCGTCTTTGACATCATTCTCTAAGGTGTCATTGACGTGCAAAATTCCAGCTTGAATTACTTCGAGAGGTCCAGGTCGCTCTGAAATTGACTTGTTCAACTGATCTGCAATGCGTGCCCTTTTCAACTGCTTGTGCTTCTCAACAAGTGATGGGTCTACGTTGTTCGCGGTCTCTTCCAAGATATGTTGTTGAATCAGGAACTCCCTCCCTGGACGTTGTTGAATCTTGGCTTTCAAGCGATCACTTATCTTGGCACGCTCAAATCGCTGCCTTTGTTCGAAGAAAGCTTGAGGAGCATGAACTGGAGGCATGATGCCTTGCTCAACCAGAGTTCCGCGATCGCGTCGCATCACTAAACGCATGGCCAGAATTTCTGCATTCTTGTCACGATGCTCGCCAAGCGAAGACTCGTCGACGATTACATTTGGCGGGGACTTGTCAACAGTGATGGTGGCTTCATAGGTGGGAATTTCACTTGTGTTATTCCCAAGCTCGATCGGGAAACCTTGAAGATTTTCTGCCATGACGTCTGTTTATCCGTCAAACCTGAAAAAAAATATACGTAGGAGTGACTTCCGAGTTGAGACGAAAATACGCCCTCGCTTCGAAGAAATACCACACCAGATTCAAAATACGGTATGCTTAAGACTCGGGAAGGAAAATAGAACGGTCAAATTATACTCACGCAGCAATTGAATATCACACGCCTCACAATTCCGTCATAAAATTGACGGGCATAATTTATCGAACAACCTCATCTCCAACAATTCCGCAACACCCCCTCAATGACATCTGCAAATTACGAAGACGAAGTTCGGTAAAATAGGTGAATCAATTTCATGCAAAGTCTTTCAAATTTCACCGTTGTTTCCCATGAATTGAACACGGGATAAGCTAGGCAGAATTCTAACGGAAATGAGTTTCGGGACTTTACACATCCCATCCGAAACCACAATACCATTCCCCTCCCAGAAATTTCATGACCTGAGCCAGAATCATGTTTTCAATATGTGACGGCTTAAGCCATAAAGAAAGTGACGTGCGCTCTAAAGGATTCAGCGTTTCTTTGATGCATCGTGCACCCATAAAAATCTTCATCCCTTGCCGGCGGCTACTACTAGAGCAAGACACTTCCGAAGTTCAATCCAAATCTGCCCAGGATTGGTAAATTTTCACAGGACAGCGCGAGTAAACGATAACAACGTCCCTCACGATAGATCGTTCGCAAATTAGCGCCCATCACATGACTGAACTTCCGCATTTCGGTAGACACTTCGTCGTGAAAGTAGGCACTCCGGATCAGAACGCAGTCAACTAAGCACTGAATAACTTCCAACGCACATAATTTTAGAGTGAGTGTTAGTTGAGAAAACCCGGGACTTGAAGATCAGTTCGTGAATTCAACAGGCGGAGCAATACGAAATCAGGACACATGGCCAACCACCAAGCAACAACCGAGTTGTCCATATCCCACACATTTTCTTCCTGACGGCGGAAAATTCAGATGCACGCTTCAATTTTCTGTTCACAAATACAGAAGGCACTTGTACACGTTGTACATATTTGTACAAGTGCCATACAGTATATCCTCTTCTGAACAGAAATGTTCCATCCACCCCAATCTCATCTGCGTTCTGTTCAAAACTTGGCTCACTGCAATAATCCTAAATCAATCATAGGCATAGAATCAACAATTCCCGTTAATCTTGAAGAGGAGCTATTCTAGGCCTCAAATTTTCTATCCACGCCATATCCGACTTAGCAATCAAAAATGCGTCTAAAACAATCACTGTCACGTGGTTCAAAAAAAAGGAACGCTTGTTGTTTATTGACGTAGCTGTAGAGCGTCGCCATGTTTCTTCTACCGCCAATCGAATATCTGAAAGTTGCGATAGTACACGGCGCTATTGCAAATCCACAGTTGTAAGTTCCGCGGAGGGCTTCGCGAAGGTGGTGAGTCAAAAATATTGTCGCGCGTACAGTATTTGATTCAAGATACTGTATATCTTCTACAGTATGTTATATTAACAAGAATAAATTCTTAGTCTTTTTCCATTCTTGAAATGTACAGTACTGTTGACAGGTAATTTAAAATTCCAAATTCAATTTATGCTTCTAAGAAATAAAGATATTGTTGTATTTATATGTATTTATATATCTTCTCATTAACAAAAATGCAAGCACTATATATATATATATATATAGTATACAGTAATATATATATATATAATGTATATATAATGTATATATATAATGTATATATATAATGTATGTATAATGTATATATATAATGTATATATATAATGTATGTATAATGTATATATATAGTAAAATCTGGTTACAACAAACTCTCATACCTGAGAAACAATTTTTATATTGAGATTAATGATTGTTAGCTCTTTCCAGACAGGAATTTTATTGGAAATGGGGAATACATACTTTAAAATGCTTCTAAAACAAAGAATTCAAGTACTTCTGATGAAATGAAGTGAAATCCTTTGATATGAATAGAACTCTCCTTTAAATGAACTAACATTTTACTAAAGTATTGCTTGTCTTCAAAAATACAAATAAAAAATTAAATATGGTAAAAATACTGCACTTTGTTCTCAATCAACTTATTCACACATATAGCTCTTTCAAACATGGAGGAACATATTCTTCTTACATACTGCTCATTTGAAAAAGGCATACATTCTAAAATGGATGAGCTGAAGAATTTCCAAAAATATGTCCTGTTGTGCATTCTTTTTGGACACCAAGTTTTCTATTCATGAAGATTTCTTTTTTGTGAATTTTTAATGCTGTATCTTGAAAATTTTTCTACATTTTCTGCCATTTATTGAGTAATTTCTATGTGGGTAACGTAGAGAATCATGCGCAAAAATTTGTTATAATGAGATTACAGCCTAGAATTACTTTGTTATTATGAAATTTTTATAACATTATGCCTAAGGAAAACTGCCACAAAAAATTCGTTATAATGAAAAAGTTGTTATAATGAGATTTGTTGTTACGGAATTCTACTGTATATACTTATACTGTATATATATTGTGCTTGCATTTTTTGTTAATGAGAAGAATGCAATCAATCAGTGCAGTATATGGATCTGCTTTTATTGCAAACAAACTTTGACTGGTGAAGTCAATATTGTAACAAAATTTTAAAATACAGTGAGCTATAAACTGAGCTGGCTGGTGAGATACTCTGGATGTGGTTGTTCTAGGAAATTCTCTCATTTTTATCCTCTTTGTTTGGAAGGTTGCGTTTACTATTGTATTGGTGAACATGTTTTATATTCACGGTGATTTGAAGTAAAGTAAATGAAAACTGTGTTTTGATAAAGCTTTAAATTCAATAATGCTCAGGCACCATTTTCTTCAAGAATTTGGATTTTTTAAGAAATACATGTATATGAGTACAGATAAATATATGAGTACAGATATTCATTTTATGGGTCATGAGATAGTATGGTCTGCAGCATGCAATTGCCACCCTTACATGCAGTAATACTGTACAAGCAAAGGCTATGTATAACCAAGATGTCACTACGTTATCTAGCGTCCAACCGAGGAACCAGAACTACTGCGTCCACAGGATCCACCCAGAAACTACGCGCGGACGGAGCTATCTGATGGGGAGAAGCGGACAAGGTGGAGTAAGACGACATCATTCCAACTTCGACCTCTGCAGCATTGAATCCTTGCTGCCCTGATCGTCGTGACGCGAAGTCAGGCTATGTGTGGTCCATGTATAATAGTCGTCGGTGACAAGTGATAAGAGTGCGTGTGCGATTAAGGAGATCAGAACATCTTTATCTCTTCATTGAACCGTGAGTTTCGAATCCAGTTGTGTTACTTTCCTATTAACTCCGTGCCTTGCCGTGGTGATCAGTGAATAGCGGTGAAACTGGCTTCTGGTCTAGTGATGCCAGCATTTTTTATCGATCGTCAAAAGTATGTTGTGGTCTGAGGATGAATCGATTAAGATAAGATCAACTTTTATGATATACGAATCATCCGGTATTAGCGTGTACATGTAATTTACCTCAAAACCTACGAAGAAACAACAGTAAATTAAGCATGTGTATAAGTGTCATAAAAATCGATTTCTGTACTGGCGTTTTTTGTTGGTGATGTCCCCTCGTTGTTGCCGTATTTAGTCGTAGGAATTGCTTAAGTCACTCGACGAAATTTTGATTCCTGGATTGGGTATGGTTGAGCATCGTCTGTTTTGTTCGGGCGTTGAAAATGGAATCCAGTACTATTCACTAATTCAATTTCAGAGGTTTTTTTTGGGTCTTAAGTTTGAAGCATCTGAGTTTGTTGAGAAGTCGTGAGAAGGGAGCTGCATTCTCGATAGCTTTATTCTGCGGAATTTCACTCCTTAGAAATAAAAGAGACTTGCAACAAAGGAGAAAGTTCAAGTAAATCCGAATCCGAATAATCTATTCATGAAGATGTTGATCCGAAATTTAAAGTTGATGATTCCGCAATTGACCGTTATTTAAAATCCATTTTATGTTGAAGACGATATTACTAGACTTATGCTCAATGCCTCAATTATGGACAGTGAGATGGTACGATGTTCGCGTTGATTCATTTTTCAAGGCAGATGACATACTTCTTCTTATTATCTGTGCCTGTTCTACATTTCCTCTACGTAGGTATGTGATATGAAAATTTTAGGATCAGGAGATTTATTGTTTTGAATTTACGAACTTCCACGACAGTGAAGTAGTTTCCTTCGGATGACAGCGCATTGTAGCTACTCGGTATTTGTGAGTCGAGAATTCCGTAACGATGAGGCGATCGTTGGAAGGATGATTTTGTTTGGGAGTGCTCTTTGGAATCCTGTCACGAAAGGTTTTCAGGAATGATTATCATGTTGCATCGTGTTTGACGCATTGTTGAAGTGTTCAAGACCAGCGCCTGAGTCTGGGGTTCATTGTTCCCTCGCTGAAGCCTCTAATAAGCTGCATAGGTTTGGTTATGGGAGCCTCTTATTATTTCGGTGTGTTCTTGGCGAGCAATGTCGTCGTCGTCGTCGGGTGACTCGCACAGTCTTGTCTGACGTGACTCGACGAGCTCCCGATCGACATGACGCGAAGTATCGTGACGAATGTTGGAATGAAGCAGGGTATTCTCGGAACGCAGGGGATAGTATGGGCGGCCATTGAGCGTGCGTTGTGGAATGCGATGAATGCGGAGTGAGGCCGGGTCTTTTTTTCTTCGACGAGAAGGCCGCTTTGCCGTGCGTGTGATCCAACTCGCGACGTTAGTGTTTGCTCTGACGGCAGTCGATGGCAGCTGCTGGTTGGCCGGAATGGCGAGGATGCGGGATGTGCGAGTCCCGGGCTGGGTGGTGGTGGTGCTGCTGCTGGTCGTAACAACTCTAGCTGACGGAGACCATGGTGTCGGAGGAGGAGGAGGAGTGGTGGCCTCTTTTTCTCCGACTGCGGATTCGGGCGTCTCTTGGGACCTGTCCCATCTGGCGCTGGACACGGATTCGGACACGGTGTACGTGGCTGGACGAAATCGGCTTTTTCAGCTCCGTGCCGGAAACCTGAGCCTCGTCGCGGTCGTCGAAACAGGTCCGCGAATGGATAGTCCGAGTTGCCACGCGAGTGGTTGCGACGGCGGTCGGGACGTCGGCATCAACCCTGTGTTGACGGATAACTTCAACAAGATTTTGTTGGTCAACCAGGACGCCGGAGAGCTTATTGTGTGTGGCACGGTTCAGCAGGGAGCCTGTGATCTCTACAAACTCGGCAACATCTCTGTGCCTCCCGTGTTTATTCCTCG